AGAGCATTTAAATCTGTTTTCAGCCTTTAGAAGCACAGGATTATTACAGTCAATTTTATGTGACTGACAGGCAAGCTTAACAGGAAACTCTTCACCCTTGAAAACGGCTTTGAATTCATAAACAGCTCTCGAGAGATCATTTGATTTAAAAAGGCTCAGAAGAAGAAAAATAAAAGACACTGACATCAGGAGTAAGAAGCACCTTGCAATGAAGAGGATGCTGATATGCACTACCTTTCTGGCTTCTGCTGACTGTGAGCCACTACAGACCACCAGGACACCATAATGACATTATTTATGTGAAAAACAACTGTAGTAGCATTTTGTGACAGGCTATATTCAGACAGTTAATTTTCTAAATTTGGCATTAGTTATAACTGAATTGAAGTCTATATGTTCACGAAGGCTGCATTTATTTAATAAAAAAAAAATACAGCAAAACAGCATGACTATGTAATTTTTATTATATTATTTTATGATGTTATTGTAATTTTTATTATGCTATTGTTAAAACTAACACAGCACAACAGAAATACTAAGAGAGTTTCAGTACTTCACAGACACTCGCTCGCCACAAGACCTGCTGCTAAAAATTGGGCCAGTATGTCCCAGACGAAAAACAACGCTCAGGAAGCATCCTGTCTTGATGACAGGATTACAAGCGGAGAGAAAAAGCCTGACAAAGACAATCTAGAGAAGAAGAAGAAGAAGAATGTAAAACTAAGTTATTCAGTGGCGTAGAAAATGTGAATCTCTTTTGGTCTCAGTCGAGCTGAATATTTATCAAATATGCGTTTACGTTTGCATGAATATGTGGAGCTTAAATGTTTATCAGTAAGCTGAAATGGCAGTACAGTGTCTAAAAATATTGTATTTTGAGTGCAACCCTGTTAATGCATGATTTACACTAAAGAAAAATTAAACATTTTTTTTAGGTTTGTCAACAACTGTTAACCTACTTTTGATCATTAACTAGCCACAGCCACTACTGAGTGACAGCTTAATTTAGGCTCAATCTGCAGCCATGTCTCAAGCAGTCCTGTTACTGTATTTATAGTAGTTTGTTTTAGTAATACAAACCTCATATAAAACAAGTGTAAAATGAAGCTCATTAAATATTTAGTCTGACCTGAAGTCAATGATCTAGTTAAGCACATGCTGGCATTTGCTAAAAAGAAAACAAATTGACTTCACAGTAAGAGTTTGAGGCCCTACGTTGCATCCTATACATAGAAAGAACTGCTTGATTTGTAGTCACTAAATTAGCTTATATCACTAGATGTACTTTCTCCAAAACGTTAACCTTCAAAGACAAGTCAGCCAACCCAATGTCGACAAACAGAGCAAAACCAAACCCGTATAATGCAGAGAAAGAGTTTCAGATGTTTTCCTCACTGGCTAAGAAAATGCAGGCCACTTCCTTCACTTAGGCCTTTCAAAGAGACAGATGTGATTTCTCTGGAACTTCAGAACACATCTGTCAGGCAATAGGACATTATGTGCGTGGATTTAAAAAACAAACAAACCATTAGCTATCTTAAACAGTCAGACTTTTGTACTTTTAAGAACAATATGTATAACCTATATATAGAATATCTACAAAAAAAAAAAACTTGATTCATACATAAATGCGATCTCATTTCTAAATGCCGATTCACTTGCACGTGTTGGGGAAATGAGCGTGTGCGACTACCTGCGTCTGCCCTTCTTCAGGTCAAGTCATATATTAGTGAAAAAAATATCAGTTGTCAGAAGATGGAAGAGATATGTCACAAGGGGATTTCCTGCGACAGCGCTGTTAAATGCACTGAATCAGTGCCACAGATCTCTATGAAGTGAAATATCAGCTTCTTCAGCGTTACTAAGGTGATGTGTTGCTGGTCGATTGACACGTGGCTCTCAAAGTTCAATTAATTTTAACACTTATTAAATTTTAAATTAATTTTAAATTAATTTCTGTGTAGACAGCACTTTTTTTTTTACTTGATAAAGATTTTGGTTAAAAAAAATGAAATCGTGATCTTAATTCCCATGGAGAAAAATCGTGATTCACATTTTAGCAAGAATCATGCAGCCCTATCTACCTTTTGTGACCTCTACAAAGCATGAGATACAGTGGGGAAAATTTTTTATTTGATCCCCTGCTGATTTTGTAAGTTTGCCTACTTACAAAGAAATGAAGGGTCTGTAATTTTGATGGTAGGTTTATTTTAATGGATAGAAAAATCCAGAAAAAAAACACATTATATAAAGGTTGGATATTGATTTGAATTTCAGTGAGTGAAATAAGTAGGGATGCATCAATACCACTTTTTCCAGTACTCGCCCGATACCGATACTTTTATTTTTGGTACTTGCCGATACCGAGTACCGATACCAATATTTTTATTGCATTTGTACATTTTTTAAATATTGGGTACAGAAACCAAAAGAGTATGTATAATGTTAGTTGGTTAACTTCATTTATCAAATAGATACAGTCAAACCAAAATTTATTCAGACACCTTCAACATTTCTCACATTATCACAGTTTATTCTCTATAGTTTAGAAAATGGTAATAAAATATAACAAGAACTCAGAGTTAAACTGTCAGAACAAATTCAGCTTGATAATGTTAGATAACTTTGATAGAAAGGTATGTAATATATTACAATCAACCAAAAATTAGACAGCTGTTAGTATGACAGTATTTACACAACTATCAATACTTAGTCGGGCAGCCCTTAGCCTCAATGCCAGCCTGTAGTCTCCTGGGCATGCTGTCACCCAGCTTCATGCAAACCTCAACTTCAATGTTTTTTCCCAGACTCGGTCTGAATAATTCCTGGTCCCAAATTTGTATCAATTTTACTGGTAGTCCACTGTATGAAGAATTTTTGGGTATGATTTGTCACAGTTTACTTTATTTTGCTATCCTCACTTACATAAATGAACTATAGTGTCCTGCACCCACTAGTAAAAAAA